GTGCGGTAGGCCGATTGCATGTTGTCATGGAGACTGTTTGCATGGAGATGAACCTCTAAACGCCGGGACACAACCTTCTCCAAGATCTTAGACAGAAAAGGCAGATTTGAAACTGGGCGGTAGTTTTTCAACTCCTCCTTGTCCATTCCAGGCTTTTTTTAACAATGGTCTGATATGTGCCTTCTTGAAACATAATGGAACCTTTGACTCAACCAATGATGTGTTCATGATTGCGGTAATCAAAGGAAGCAGTGCTTCAAGACATTGCTTTAAAAGGTCTGTAGGCAGTGGATCAAGCTCACAGGACTTCGATTGCGAGGTCATGATGATGTTGCGCAACTCGTCCTGGGTTGTTGGTGAGAGCTTAAAAGCTTAAAGCATGTAGCTTAAAAGATGGCAATACATATGTATTTCTTTTAATATGATTTTAAACGATGTTCCCAATAAGGACGTTATTTATTGTAACATATGAAGAGAGAAAAACGTGGACGTTTACTAAAGCGCTATTGATATTGCAAGCCTCATGGTAAGCCGACAACTCAATGAACAACAGCACCTACACGAGCTTTGGTGGCAGTTAAAGCATAAAGCTTCTGCTCTTGTCCTCTCTGCAATGGTCTATTATTCATCAGGATGTGTCTAATGGTTTAATTATATCTCGGAGTTTGAATCAATGTGTGTGAGGACACATTTGATCATCCTTGAATCATGTGGTTTTATCCATTCTATTCATCAAACATAAAATTATACATGTATCTTTTAATTCTCTCTGGACTATTCCCGAAGCATATACGATTTACAAAAGTCTGTTGGATTATTTTGCTCCCAAATGTGTTTATTCTCATCTTATTTTAGAACCCCTGTAGTATTGGGGATTCTACTATTTACTCCCTGCTTTGGAACACAAAGAACCCAAATTAAATCCGTCGTATACAAGGCAACGTTTAGGATATTTGTGGTATCTGTCTACTTCCTAACAACCTGTTTGTTCCTTTTCGCCCTACTAAGCATATGACTTAAATTCTCGATGAGCCATACAAGAAAGATAAAATTGTTCCCTAGCGCTTGTTTGGCATGACCTCGTGTTTGGCCTTCGTGTTGAACGTTTGTCCAAGCGAAGAAGGCAATGGACTTATCCAGCCTGGGACATGCATGTTATTTCAGAGAATTACTCTCTGAAGTCTAAGATCTCCGCTATTGCAAGGAGGCAGATACGCTGTCATACCGCCTCCAGGACTCACGCATGCATTATACATTACACACTTAATAGGACGTTAACCCAATCAAACCAAAATCAGATCTATAATGATGGTCAGCTGGGATTATTACTGGATCAAATATAATTATTGATGATGTTTCAATATATCATATTTTACCATTAAATTCAAATATATTTACTTGTACGCGTATCTGCTGAAGCTATTTGTTCTCAGTAAATTAAATTCGCTAGTACTTACAACTTATTTTGTTTCCGGTTACTGTAAAACTATGCTTTCCCTCACGACAGGGTGCCCTAACCGCAGTGTCGTCCGGTCTGGTCTTTATGTTGTGGATAGGTGTAGGATACCAGGTACACAAGCCGCCTGTGTCTGCCTTCTCTACCACCAATCTGACTGGATGTAACTGGAACCTTACCCATGTCCAGTCTTACACCAACTTCACACAACCATTCGACGTCCTCGGTAACACCACTGCTCCGGAGTACTTAACCTGGTAGGCACTTTCAGTAAAATGTCATAGTTCTGAAAAATGTAAACAATGTTTACTGCGTCTGTTTAACCACTGTAGACACTTGTCTGTGGACGTTTACTGCGTCTGTTTAACCACTGTAGACACTTGTCTGTGGACGTTTACTGCGTCTGTTTAACCACTGTAGACACTTGTCTGTGGACGTTTACTGCGTCTGTTTAACCACTGTAGACACTTGTCTGTGGACGTTTACTGCGTCTGTTTAACCACTGTAGACACTTGTCTGTGGACGTTTACTGCGTCTGTTTAACCACTGTAGACACTTGTCTGTGGACGTTTACTGCGTCTGTTTAACCACTGTAGACACTTGTCTGTGGACGTTTACTGCGTCTGTTTAACCACTGTAGACACTTGTCTGTGGACGTTTACTGCGTCTGTTTAACCACTGTAGACACTTGTCTGTGGACGTTTACTGCGTCTGTTTAACCACTGTAGACACTTGTCTGTGGACGTTTACTGCGTCTGTTTAACCACTGTAGACACTTGTCTGTGGACGTTTACTGCGTCTGTTTAACCACTGTAGACACTTGTCTGTGGACGTTTACTGCGTCTGTTTAACCACTGTAGACACTTGTCTGTGGACGTTTACTGCGTCTGTTTAACCACTGTAGACACTTGTCTGTGGACGTTTACTGCGTCTGTTTAACCACTGTAGACACTTGTCTGTGGACGTTTACTGCGTCTGTTTAACCACTGTAGACACTTGTCTGTGGACGTTTACTGCGTCTGTTTAACCACTGTAGACACTTGTCTGTGGACGTTATTGTTCATTTTATTGCATTTAAGTTCAAAAAGAAATTTTGCCCTTGTGTATTGGCGATTTGGTACATTTTATTGACAAATATAAGTTCGGGTGTTGCCCTTTGTATTGGCGATTTGGTACATTTTCTTGACTTTCAGTTCAGGTTTTGACCTGTATAAACCTTTAGAAAAAAAATCCTTGTGTAATGATGATGTGGTACATTTTGTCGGAATTTTCTTTGCAATATTTTCATCTTGGTTGTCCCCAGGGATCCATTCGTGCGTCTGTACTCCCTGTCCTACCTGTGGTACAGCGCCACAGCCATGCTGTATGTGGTCTCTGTAGGACTCATTGTCAGTTTGGCCACAGGTAAGTTTTACTACCACAGGTAAAGAAGTGGTAGTGTCACCGATAAGTCATTGTTCCAAGTAAGTCATTGTCCTTATAACAGGTAAGTCTGTGGTGTGTTGACCTTTTAAGCATTGTCATTTTACCGGCATATCATAAGCTTTATCAATATAAGTCAATGCAAATAGTGTCATTATCATAGGAGGATCGGTGTCATTATTACAACAGGTACCAAATGTAAGCCAGTGGCATTACCACAGGTAAGCCAGTGACATTACCACATGTAAGACATTGTCATTATCTCTTATGAGTCTTAATCGTACGAAATGGCAATACGGTGGCCTAAAACATTGTTTGGTTCTCCGCATCCACTTACTACAATTTCAACTACGTACTTTCCTCTTCGTATTTCTGGTGGATATTTCACAGGTAAGTCTATCTATGTAATTACAACCTATAATTCAACTATCATATGTAAATAAGTGCCATTATCATATGTAAATAAGTGTCATTATCATAAATACGTCAGCGTTATTATCACGTGAAAGTTAGTGTGTAGTTCTCACTAACGAGTTGTCATAAATCACTGGTAAATCATCGTCATAAGGTAAAAACAATTACATCAGGACCTATATAAAACGATCAATGTCAAGTGAGATATGCTTCTACACATAGCAGTGTCTCTGTACGAGTCAATCGATCATAAACTCATGTTTATCACGTCGAACAGATCCCAATTCAATCGATCATAAACTCATGTTTATCGCTTAACAGGTCGAACAGATCCCAAGTCAATCGATCGTAAACTCATGTTTATCACTTAACAGGTCGAACAGATCCCAAGTGAAGTCGATCGTACACTCATGTTTATGACTTAACAGGTCGAACAGATCCCAAGTCAATCGATCATAAACTCATGTTGATCACGTCGAACAGATCCCAATTCAATCGATCATAAACTCATGTTTATCACGTCGAACAGATCCCAATCCAATCGATCATAAACTCATGTTGGTCACGTCGAACAGATCCCAATTCAATCGATCATAAACTCATTTTTATCACTTAACAGGTCGAACAGATCCCAAGTCAATCGATCGTAAACTCATGTTTATCACTTTACAGGTCGAACAGATCCCAAGTCAATCGACCCTAAACTCATGTGTCCAATATTTGACGTATTCATGCCATTTCTACCCGAGAAAATCCGCAAACCCCTACGACTTGGCGTCGACTATTCGAAGGTGAGAAAGCTTTGTCAGATTTGTAATTATATGTTATCTTAGTTTGTACCTTGATGTATCGGAATTTGGATAGATTCAGACTCAAGAGAGGTGTGTTATACCGTGAGATCAATGTTGATGGAGATGGGGACAGACAGGAGCAACTAGTATTACCATCCACATTCGTTCAGGGAGCTCTGAAAGGTTTACATGATGACATCGATCACCCTGACCGCGATAGGGTTTTATCCCTGTACAAGGACAGGTTTTACTGGCCTAGCATGACTAGAGATGCGGAGGATTGGATAAAGAAATGTCCTAGATATCTGCGAGCGAAGTCACCTGCAAATATTAGAGCACCACTTGTCAGTATCCACACAACGCAACCCATGGAAATGTTAAGTATTGATTACCTGTCACTAGAACCATCGAAAGGAGGAATATGTAACATTCTTGTTATAACTGATCATTTCACCCGATACGCCCAAGCCATCCCCACTCGGAATCAAACAGCGAAGACGACTGTTGAGGCACTTTTCAACAATTTCATTGTGCATTATGGCATACCACAGAAGCTTCATACGGATCAGGGAGCAAATTTTGAGAGCGATCTTATGAAGAAACTGTGTTCTATTCTTGGTATGGAGAGATCAAGGACAACACCTTACCATCCAATGGGTAATTGCACCACAGAAAGATTCAACAGGACATTGTTGAACATGTTGCGAACACTAAAGGAAAGCGAGAAACATGACTGGGCTCACCATATTTCTTCTTTAGTGCAATTATATGCGTGCACTCGCCAAGATTCTACTAGAAAGACGTATACAGAGTACTTGAACAACCAAATAAGGACATTCCTGTGTAAGTTGTTCAATTGGAGTCTGGAGAAGGAAGGAAACGAACACTTCACCGGAACAATCTCCTTCCAATAGGTTCACTACGTGAGAGACCCATTCCAGCGGATCGGCCCAATCCGGCAAAAAGCAGTACGAAATCGGTTTTGTCACAAAGTATATAGTTAATATTACATAAATATGGTTGGTACCCGTATATAACTAATCCTGAAGAAACAGTCCATATTCACGTATAACACTCGTATGTCCAGGCCTATCTATGTTCTGTATATATTGGTGGTGTATATACAATATATATGTATATGTATGAATATAATTTATAGAAGTTAAGTTACTGCATTATATTAGTGTGTGTACGAGTAACCTATATAGATATTATATTAGTACTGTCTGTTTCTACATTATATTGGTGTGTGTAAGAGTAACCTATATACATATTATATTAGTACTGTCTGTTTCTACATTATACCAAGCATGGTCACCAGCTATATAATAATACTGAATTAACTTGCAGATGAAGGAGCCAGCCGAGGAGGCGACTGGGGATGAGGTAGAGGTATTCATGGATAAGAGTGGCCAGGAGATGATGGCAGATGTAAATGGCATACCCTCTTGACCGTACGGCCGACGAAATAGACTCAGTTATACACACGTTAGATAAAACCCTGTTTTATTGAAGACAATTGCTCAAAATCGGAATTGCATTTAAATCTCATTCATGTTACTACAGAACTGTATACCAGGAAACCGTCGCCTAGTCAAATACTCGCCCTTCATCAGTTAGCATATATATTCGCCCTGTGTTCATATTTCAGATATGATAACTATATGTTGTATGTTATATAGATATCTGCTGTCATGATAAATTTGCCATCCTTGTGGAGGACGACAAGTCGAACGTTAAACTACAGAGAAAAATACCGTGTACAGTACTCTTTCCATATCCCCATTGCCGTAAAGACTGTACAATGTATCCGCGAGCGACTGCATGTGATGTCATTCTGTTGAAAACAGAGAAATCTAACTCGTGTCTCTGAAATACATACTTAGAGTTGCTCGGTTATTTAAGTTCAAATTTTACTCACAATCAGGGGTTCATGTACATTTGTAATTAAACACAATAAGGTCAGAAGTGTGAAATAAAAACGCGTAGAATATGCTGTCGGTGCTGTACAGTGATTGTGGCTGAAGTCTGCTATAGAAACGTAAACAAATACGGTACTTGCCGTATAAGACCGGGATTGGTGCTGAAGCCTCCTATTTGATCGGCGATGAAGCCTGCTATATAAACAATTTAAGTTCCATCGGTACAAGACCGGGATTAGTGCTGAAGCCTGCTATATAAACAATTTAAGTTCCATCGGTACAAGACCGGGATTGTTGCTGAAGCATATTACATAAACAAATGAAGTTTCATTTGTAAAAGCAGGTAATGGTGCTGACATACATGGTGTTTCAATGTCAAATTATATTTAAGAGTATGTTTTGATGTATTAAACTTTTAGTTCATCTGGTTACAAAAGCCAAGTGACCTATAGAAATTCGTTGCCATACGTGGCACTCCAAAACAAGTCCTAAAGTATATAAGTTCAACAAGTAATAATCACCCTTCACAAGCGTCCATGTGTATTATTATTCTAGTAATTAAACTCCATAAAATCAAATGTGCAACATGAAATCCTATAACATAAACACGAAGAAAATATCATTGGTATAACGCAAGGATCGGTGACGAAGCCAGCTATATAAACAGGCGAAGTACTATTTGTAAAAAGCAGGTAATTATGCTGAAATACATGGTGCTTAAATGTAGAATTATATATAAGAGTAAATTTTGGTACAGTGTATGTTCGCTTAGATCTCAAGGGCCAAGTGACCTATTGCGAGTCGTTGTCGTATGCCGTCTGTCGTATGTCGTCTGTCGTCTGTCGTCTGTCGTCTGTCGTCTGTCGTATGTCGTTGTCGTATGTCGTTGTCGTATGCCGTCTGTCGTATGTCGTTGTCGTATGTCGTTGTCGTATGCCGTATGTCGTCTGCCGTCTGTCGTCTGTCGTCTGTCGTCTGTCGTATGTCGTCTGTCGTATATCGTTGTCGTATGTCGTATGTAGTCTGTCGTATGTTGTATGTCGTCTGTCGTATGTCGTATGTCGTTGTCGTATGTCCTATGTCCTATGTCGTCTGTCGTATGCCGTCTGTCGTATGCCGTCTGTCGTCTGTCGTCTGTCGTATGTCGTCTGTCGTCTGTCGTATGTCATCTGTCGTATGTCGTATATCGTATGTCGTCTGTCGTCTGTCGTATTTCGTCTGTCGTATGTCGTATGTCGTCTGTCGTATGTCGTCTGCTGTATGTCGTATGTCGTATGTCGTATGCCGTCTGTCGTATGTCGTATGTCGTATGTCGTATGTCGTATGCCGTATGCCGTATGTCGTATGTCGTCCGTCGTATGCCGTCTGTCGTCTGTCGTTTGTCGTCTGTCGTATGTCGTCTGTCGTATGTCGTTGTCGTATGCCGTCTGTCGTCTGTCGTATGCCGTCTGTCGTATGTCGTATGTCGTATATCGTCTGTCGTATGCCGTATGTCGTATATCGTTGTCGTATGTCGTCTGTCGTCTGTCGTTTGTCGTCTGTCGTATGTCGTATATCGTTGTCGTATGTCGTATGTCGTCTGCCGTCTGTCGTATATCGTTGTCGTATGTCGTCTGTCGTCTGTCGTCTGTCGTGTGTCGTATGTCGTATGTCGTCTGTCGTATGTCGTTGTCGTATGCCGTCTATCGTCTGTCGTATGCCGTCTGTCGTCTGTGGTATGTCGTATGCCGTCTGTCGTATGTCGTCTGTCGTCTGTCGTATGCCGTATGTCGTATGTCGTCTGTCGTATGTCGTATGCCGTATGCCGTATGTCGTATGTCGTCTGTCGTATGTCGTCTGTCGTATGTCGTATATCGTCTGTCGTATGCCGTCTGTCGTCTGTGGTATGTCGTATACCGTCTGTCGTCTGTCGTATGTCGTATGTCGTATGTCGTCTGTCGTATGTCGTATGCCGTCTGCTGTACGTCTTTTTCATTAATTAACATCTTCTCAATAACCACTGATAAATATATCAACCAAATAATGTTGGAAGTATTGGGATCAAAATGCGAAGGAAAATATGCTGGAATGTTACATGTAGGGGTGTACAAATTTGGGTTCATAGAAAAACCGGCAGTCGGATTGTTTTGAGATTCGTTTTGTAACCCGTCCATGAACGAAGTCATTAAGGGGGCGCTATTCCCTCATATGTCTCAATACTTGCATTTAAGGATCTCGAGTGTCTACTTCTGACGAACGGAAAAGCCTTGTGTATTATATTTAGTCAGGAACTAGCTAGCATAAAGTGCAACAAAGATTGCTTAAGTCACTGGGGTGAAATTATTTAAAACACATAGAAGACTCCTTTTCTGAAAGAATAAGCCATAGTTGGCCCATTTTGCGACATCAAATCATCCTGATCTGTATGCAAGGTCACTGGTGTCAGAATTGTTAATACGCCCAAGTGCCTTCTGTTATATTTGGCATGTAACTCACTGGCATTGAGTGCCAGTTTGCGAAAAGAAATGACCTAGACCTATATTCAAGGTCATAGAGGTCAAGCTGGTCTTGCGTATCTATAATTGACATGTAGCTAATACTTGTAAGGCTAAAAAGTTTGCAAAAATAAATCATTTTGACCTACAATGTATAGTCAGGGTCATGGGGGGGGGG